AATTTTACTGTCATCATGTCATGTGTTTGTCTTTTTAAAGACGAATTACATGCTATGATTTTTTCTGACGGATATTCTCAAGTTAAAGTTGATTTCATGTAATCGAATGAACTATCTTATAAGTAAAGTCGTCCCAGGAGCGCAACTCAACAATATTGGCAATATCATTTTAAAGTCGTCTACTTTAAAATGCATAATGTATGTCTGAATTGTCAATATAAATGAGTCAGATAAAATTAAATTAGCAGAAGAATTTTTTCACTATGTAACAAAAAACAAAATTTGTTTAATTTAAGGTCTATTCTCATTAGACGTGCCAGGCCCGTGCTCGTCACCTGACCGGCACATGCCATGCTTTTGGTAAATATTCACACTATTTGCGCTCGTAACATGCTTTCAGCGGTATTTTGCACAGGCAGTCGGTTAGACGTGTCGGTGGGTAGTTGTGCAGTTGTAATGTTTTCTACGGCAACTTTACTAAAAATTGCATTTTTTACTTTGGATGCCGAAGAAGAAGAGAATATGAGAGATAAAGTTAAAAAATGAGGTTTTGGATACATCCAATGATTAAGGAAAGAAACATAGAAGGAGAATACTATACCTTGTATAAAGAACTCATTGATAATGAGTCAAAATTTTATATATATATATATATATATATATATATATATATATATATATATTATATATATATATATATATATATAATATATATATATTATAGAATGTCAATTGCCGAATTTCAGCAGAATTACCAGCATAATGCGATTTTAAACAAATTGACAAAAAATTTTGGTTGTCGTAGAATTTTCCCAAGGGCATTAGGAGCCCTAGATGAAAAGCACATCAAAATTATAGCACCAATCAATAGTGGTTCCAGCTACTTTAACTACAAAAAGATTTTTTCTGTAGTTCTACTTGCTTTAGTAGATTCGACTTGCTCTAGGAAATCACGATAAACCATTTTTGTCCTTAAAAAACTCACTCCCTCCATTTTCCGAACTCAGGTCGCCCGTAAATTATTTTTTCTTTCATTTATGTCATATCATCTTTCTTTTCCAACGAGTTTCATCCTACTATTTTTTTTTTGTTTAAAATATTATCGGCAGTGGTCTATTACCTAGATAAAATATAGTGTTTTATTTACCTATTTTAATATTTCCTCCAATATCCCACCATACCTGAGACTTATGTGCTGCATCTGCATACAGTCGATTCATAAAATCGTATAATTCACTTCTCATACGAACTAATTCTATTAAAAATTCATCAGTATCATGTGAAAATATTTTTTTCGCACCGTTTTGCCTGTCGAAACTCATCTGAAGTATTCACACTATGTAGGACTGTGCAAGGAATGTGCCACGCACGGGCTAGGAAAATATTGTTTGAAAAGATTGTCCGATGCCGGGCGCGTACCGTTCCCATTCCAAGCACTTGTAGTGAGAACGGACCGTCGCTAAACCCATTTAAATAACGTTAAAGTAATTTTGCACGTCTCGAGCAGGGCACATGCCTGGCACTATAGTGAGAATAGGCCTTTACTATTTGTATTTTGAGAACGATTTCCGAATTGGAAATTGAAACGTCAATAAATGTATTTTTATCTTTAATGTGGCTTATTCCCAGTTATAAATAGTAATTAATCTATATCCTGTTTGACTGGATTGTCTAGTTTATTTATTTATTTCTTCCTCTAGTCTGTTTTCAACCTGCTTCTCTTGAAGGCGCTCGAATTTGTAATTTAATCTATCTCTAATAGGTTTTGGTATTATTGCAGTTTTTGTTTTGCTATTGTTAGTGTATGGTCACTGTTGGTATCTGCCCCTATGTAACTCCTGCACTCGATTATTGCCTTATAATGTTTGCTTTCAATTAGAACGTGATCTATCTGATTTTTTATTTTTCCATCGGGAGAAGTTCATGTTACCTTATTCTATGTCTTTGTGATCAAACCTTCTGCTAGCTATCTTCATTTTGTTCTCCGTAACAAATTCTATAAACTTTTCCCGTTTTCATTTGATTCCTTATGTAAACTTAGTCCCCCTGTTATTTTTCTATATAACACCAATATCTATATGAGTCACCAATGATTATCTTACTATATCGTATTTCTGTATATTCCCTATTAGGGTGCTTAGCTTTTCGTAGAACTGTGTTTTGGTTTCTAACTTTATCTTCAGCGCACGCATGTACCGGGTGGTCCAATAAGCCGATCTCTCGGCTATATATCAGAAACTATTCATGTTATAACTTTAGGAAAAAAATTTCTTAGTAAAAATGGCCAAGAGAAATCGCTGGAAATAACTTTCAAGATTCTGGATTAACCGCTAGGGGGCGTAACCTGCGAAGAAAATTTTGAAAACCAGTTTTTTGGGAAATATGTCAAATTATACCTAGTGTTAAATAAGTAAACTAGAAAGGGGCATAAATTCTGTACAAAGTTGTTCAAGTACATTTTTTTATTTTTTCAAATAAAGGGTGGGGGAGAGTGGGAAAGTATTTGTGGATAAATACCTATAACTTTGGTTTGGTCCAACCGATTTTAATGATATTAGTGTCATTAGAAAGAGTTTGGATGAATTATAAAATTTTTAATGGAAACACCTATTTATTGTAAATTATAATGGAACTGGAATAAATTCGTAACAAAATGGAGCAAACCGCATGTTAATAGCTTTTGTTGAACTCGAGATATGAATAAAAACTCATAAACATAAGTAAGTATAGTATTGACACACCCTGTATTATAAATTACATTAAAAAATAAGTCAGTAGGTATTTTCAAATTTTTTTATAGCAGAAGAATCTTAATGTTGATACCTATTTTGTAAAAAATAGTTTTTTTCGAAACTAAGTAGGCTGCGACAATGAATTTGACGGGGAGTTCATATTGTTTATTTATTGACAGCAGTCAAAACATTGTTAAGAAGTGCTATATTATAATTCGAATTAAAGATTGCACTTTTTTTCAATAGATATTAATATTGGTATTATTAGTAATTAATTATCAGTACAAATAATTCGTGATGAGCATATCAAATTGTATGATATGATTGGAGTTTATTTCGAATGTCACCAAAATGCCGCTATTGCCTCACGTATATATTTTGTAAGATATCGTGACAGGAGACATTATGGCAAAGAAGTATTTGAAAGAAAGGCAAAAAGATTAAGAGAAACTGGTAGTTTTTCTCGTCCTTGTTTTAAACGACGTAGTAGAGTTATGACCGAAGATAATTCAATCAATGTTCTTGCTTTAATTCAACAGAATCCACATATAAGTAGTCCGAAATCTCTACTTCTTTGCCACAATATCTCCTGCCAGGATATCTCACAGAATATATACGTGAGGCAATAGCGCCATTTTGGTGATATTCGAAATAAACTCCAATCATATCATACAATTTGATATACTCATCACGAATTATTAGTACTGATAATTAATTACTAATATTACCAATATTAATATCTATTGAAAAAAGTGCAATTTTCAATTCGAATTACAATAAATGTAACACTTCTTAACAATATTTTGAATGCTGTCAATAAATAAACAATATGAACTCCCTGTCAAATTCATTGTCGTAGCCTACTTAGTTTCGAAAAAACAATTTTTAATCATATGAAATAACAATGGTCAAAATAGGTATCAAGATTAAGAGTTTTCTGCTATAAAAAATTTTGAAAGTACCTACTGACTTATTTTTTAATTTATTTTATAATACAGGGTGTGTCAATACTATACTTACTTATGTTTATGCGTTTTTATTCATATCTCGAGTTCGATAAAAGCTATTAACATGCGTTTGCGCATTTTGTTACGAATTTAATCCAGTTCCATTATAATTTACAATAAATAGGTGTTTCTATTAAAAATTTTGAAGAAAAACAAATTTTAATTTTTTCTATTCGAAAGTACCCTCTACCTACGACAATTAAAACTAAATGCAATTATTTTATAGTAGATGTAATTAATTCATCCATACTCTTTCTAATGACACTAATTTTGTTAAAATCGGTTGATCCAAACCAAGGTTATAGGTATTTATCCACAAATACTTTCCCACTCTCCCCCACCCTTTATTTGAAAAAATAAAAAAAAAAAGTACTTGAACAACTTTGTGCAGAATTTATGCCTCTTTCTAGTTTACTTATTTAACATTTGGTATAATTGGACATATTTCCCAAAAAACTGGTTTTTAAAATTTTCTTCGCAGGTTACGCCCCCTAGCGGTTAATCCAGAATCTTAAAAGTTATTTCCAGCGATTTCTCTTGGCCACTTTTACTAAGGAATTTTTTCCCCTAAAGTTATAACATGAATAGTTTCTGATGTATAGCCGAGAGATCGGCATATTGGACCACCCGGTACATTAATGATACTTATCTTCTTATATTTTCCTCTTACTCTTAAGTAACATATTCTGTCTGATATTGGTTGAAAATTTATAACTGCTTTGTTTACTTTCTCCGACATCTTTGCCTTGCCTTTTCGGTATCATATCTCCCCGGTTGATTTTCTTCTACTAGTTTTTTGGCAATTTTTCTTTGGTATTTTCTTTTTCTTCATCCCATATCCATTCTTTCCCATTCACGAACAACTTCTTATAGCTTATTTTTGTCTGTTTTCCTTTCCTTTTTTTCCTTTGCTATTTTAACTATTTCTTTTTCTTTTGCTGTCAGATCATTATTTATGTAGATGAGATCTTTATGATACTTCAACTTACTATTCCTATTTAGTATCTCAATTTTATCCGTGAAAGTTCCTGTTTCTATGGCATAAACTGTTTCTCCTATTTTTGTTGCGTTCCTCAGTTTTATTTGCGTCTTCAGTTCTTGTGATATGAATGTTTCCATGCTTTCTTTTAGTTTGTTATCATCATCATCAATAATATTAATATTTTCATAAGTACTTAGAATATCTTAGGCTTAGACTTAGGCTATAGAATTAAATCAAGGAATCAATATAGTGTACATAATACAATTTAATAAAAACAGTTTAAATTAAATTATTTATTCAGTGTATCCAATAAATATAAAATAAATAACTATATGACTTTTGTACTAATCACAAATATTTACAAATTGCAATTTAATTTTCGGCTGGCTGTGGTTGACACGGATTGCCGATGATCTGATCGGCAATTCTGCTCGCTTCTCTAAGTCCACTTAAGAAAGCTCCATGCACGGTAGCCGGATAGTTTCTAATAGTATGTTCACCCGCGAAAAACACTCGCGCAGGGCCCGAAGTCACAGAAACCCCTTGATCGTTCGGCGGAATTACCGGCGAGGCCAACAGATCGTAATCACTTCCAGAACTACCTACTGCTACGAAACTATAGGAACCTCGTGACCAGGGATCGGCTCGCCATCGCGTGACAACAGTCTCTTTCGGTTGAGGCACTCCCGATTGCCCGAAAATTCCTCGAAGTACTGCAATGCATCTTCCAACTATCACATCATCTGTTACATTTTCCATTATCGCTGCAGCTTCACCTGCAACTAAGGCGAGTAACACAGGGGCTTTATATAGATTCCAGAAGAGGAAAAGTTCTCCTCTGCTAGCTGTTGTACTTCCAACATGACCAAAGAGATTCGCCTGTGGGTTCCAGAATATTCTCTCAAAACATAACACCACCTTGTTGAGATTGCCAAAACCCAGACGCTGAATTGCAGACGTTTTCCAGTCTGGTAGAGGTGGTAAAAATTGCACTGTATTCAGTTGAGTACTAGAGGGTACAGCACTTAGTTTAAGCACGCCTAAAGGTAGCGTGCACAAAACCACCTCAGCATGATAGGTATTCGTTGTTGATGGATTTCTTGGATTATATACAGTAACTTCTACACCTCTGCTATTATACTCGACCTTCTTGACAGCAGCATTCAGTTTAATATCAAGACCTTCTGCTAAAGCAACTGGTACACAAGAATACCCATTTCTTACTGTTAGATGATTTCCTGTAAACTCAAAATCGTCATCTTGATCCCAGTGCTTTAGTGAAAGAGTAGATAGAGGTGTTGCATTAGCAAATTCTAAATTTGCAAAGTGCCAATCCAAAATTTGACGATCTTTAGAAGATAAGTAAACATCACTTGGTTTGGAACTATCTAATTCTTCCAGTTTTGCTTCAATTTCCTTCGCCTGCTCCTTTAATTGATCCCACTGGATAGCTAAGTCTTTTAAATCTTTAACTCCACTAGCATAAGCAAATTGCTCATCAGTATTTCGTTTTTCTATAACAGCCATCTCATCAACTTTAGTTTTTATTTCTTTCATTTTCTCTTTCACGTTTGTCATCATTTGTTGACTTCCTTTTAATTTCTCCTGCAGGGTAATAACAGACTTTAAATGTTGTATTTGTTTTTCTTTAACATTCTTCTCTTGTAACTTAATAACCCATTCTAGTGCTTGCCCTAAACTAACAGGTTTATTACCGGCATAGTTAAAGTCAAGCTGATGTGACAGATAAGATGTGGCTTCTAAAAGACGATTGAATTCCCTTTCGACCATTTCATCTTTGTCTTTATCTACAGTAACACCATTTGATTGGTATAAAGGACACTTTTGGCGAATGCGATGCAATTCCATGTCTATCTGTTTACTTAAAGTTGTGATAGGGTTTCCTCCTAAGCCGGTTACTACCATAGCACCTGTAAAACAAAAAAAAATATATAATAGAAATGTTATTTTACTAAGCAAAGCTCGTGGAGTACAAGAGAAAAAATTTAATTTTTTGTATATAAACAAGTTTGTAAACAAGTCTAAAATAAATTGTTTTTTATGCAGTTTTGACAAAGGGTAAAAGATATTATTAAGCAATCTTAATCTCAGATACTGAGAATAACCTACAGCATATAGCACAGACATTCAACATAGTGGTGAAGAATTACTGCATGAATATATCAACAGCTAAGACCAAATCCCTAGTAGTGGCAATATAACCAGAAGATGCAGTAATTAATGATGCAATAACTTAACTAGTCTCGAGATTCAAATATAAACTATCAAGCTATGGATATCATAAAGAAAGGCAAACAAGGCAGCTTACTTGTTGGAATGCTTGAGGGATGTAATCTGGAGAAATAAACATATGAGGCTGAAAGGGAATGTATGTATATATATAAAGCATGTGTAAGGCTGATAATGACTTACGCAATAAAAACAATAGCTGAAACAGCAGAAACCAAGAGAATATTGAGAACATCAGAAATGAGAATGTTGAGGTCAATAACTCAGAAAACACTGAGAGATAGAATACCAAATGATTTAATAAGATATCTGTGTAACATACCAGACGGAATATATTGGGGAAGACAGAGAAGGTAAGAATGGAATCAGCATGTTTTATGAATGAACAGAGAGAGAATAGTCCAAATAGCAAAACATTTAAAAGCAACCTCTAGGCAAGATACCACTAGGAAGATTTTGCAATAGCTGGCAGTCAATATCACTGATATGAATATAAGCTCAAAATCAGTGAAGGTGCTAATATAAGAAGAAGAAAGATAAGAGGATAATATTATTCAAGGAAGTAGGTAATTAATTAATGATAGTAATGTTAAATATACAGGTAGTTTGGAAAATACTTGAAAACCTGAAGAACTATAAAAGCAGCAGGTAAAGATGATACCAAACAAATTACTAAAATATTCAATGGAGCAGCAATGACAGAAAAATTAACAACATTAATTAATAAAATTATAAAATGTAATAAAATATCGGAAGAATGGAGAATGAGCAAACTAATTATACTATTCAAAAAAAACAGCTGGACAGCTACAGAGGTCTAACTTGTTAAATACTATGCTAAAACTTACAACTAAAATATTACAAGTGCTAATAAAGCAGAGGATAAGTTTAGCAGATGAACAACAGGGTTTTCCTAGTGGAAGATCATGTACAAATGCAATATTCGGTAACCCAAGGTGAAGATAGTAGGCAAAGACTAGTCCACAGAGCAGAAGAATTTATTATGACAATCTCATCTCAGAAAACTAAAACAATAGTAGTCATCAAAGAACCAACCAGATGCAATTAATTATATTTTTCATGGATTGCAAAACAATTTTTACTCAATAGTACTAAGTGCCAATATTAGAGCAATGTTTTGAGAGATAGGGAGCTCTTGCTGTGGGAGAGACATGTTTTATTTGAAGTGATCTGCAGGATTAAGTTTAACTGAGGTAAATTTCAAAGTATATAAAATATTCTGTATATTTCAATGTGTATCTTATTTCTAATGCAAGTATGGCTAAAGAAATAAGTAGAGAATTTGGAAAATATAATTTTTATATGATTGTGTTTAGAGAACTTCACACCATAAATAATTAATTGTGTTCAGGGCATAGAAAACACAAATATTTTATTACATACTACTATAACAATCAGTAAATCTTTAGTTTCTCAAAACATTACAACCAACATTATGTTGTTTATTGTATCTGATTTTAACTAATGAAGGCCCCATTATAATTTGGAAGTATTTTTATCAATCACATACTGTCAGGTTGTTAGTGACTACTAGTAACAAACAATAAACTAAACATTTTGTTGTTATATTCAGTGATAAGTTTAATGAGCTATACATCATCTAATACATAATTTTTAAGATTAATACAATTTATCATTATATTTTTTAATAACATACCAATATCAGCAATATAATTCCCTTTTCGAAATGTTGCAATGCGACCTCCAACCCTATCTCTTGATTCTAACACTATAACCTCCAGTCCAAATTGTTGCAACTGCTGTGCTGCTGCTAAACCAGCTATTCCAGCACCTATAACTATAACTTTTCCATATTTTTTAGAGGGAATAGGTTTTAGTCTTTTAAAAATTCCATAGTTTATAAATCCATTTCTCTCTAGGAAGGCGTGTACCCTTTTGACCAGCTGTGTATCACTATTGTAAGGGGATTCCATTTTTTCGAAAACATGTTCTATGATTAACTGTTGCTTGGGATTCTCTAACCACATCTGAAGTATACGATTGCGTACATTTAAATATACTCTTACTGTCTGCAGGGCTGCATTGGCAATATCTGGAAAACAGGCAGCTTCTGTCGAGGTTAGTTTGTCAAAAGGCATTCGACTTTGAAAAGCTGCACCTTCTAAACCAGAAAATAGGTCTTTTATCACAGGGTCGTCAAGTTCTGATTCGGGGTCATCGTTTTTCTTGTCGTCATCGGCTTTTATCTCCTCCTTTTTGGCATCTTTCTTGTTGTTTTTTGAAGTGCTTGGTCCTGGGCTAAGTTTTTTATCAGACTGTTGAATTTTAGACTTATCTGTGTTTTCGGAGTTTTCTTCATCTCCGACGCTGTTTTTATCTTCCTCTTTTAATTCAAGCTTTGCTTTTTTTCGTCTACTCATTTTTATAATCAAATACTTAGCCTTATATGAAGAGAAGCGAAATCTAAGTACTTACTCCATAACGAAAAGTACGTTCGCCTTATAATACAACACATTTGATTCACTGAAAATATTCTTCATATATAAACATTTTATTTATCGATATTTTGTTTCTACCCAAAGAAATACTGCAATACAGTTTGTTTATGGCACACATACACATAACCAATAACCAAATTAAACTAGACAAATGACAGCGCATCTGTATAATCTGTGGCTCAACTGCCGCACACTGGAAAGTATCGAAAATTAAAATGGCTACTGTTACGGTTTCGGATCGTTGTGTATGGAAATTTGTACATTGTTGTTTTGTTTTTTTTTTTCATTATTTTAATATTGCTGAACATAATGTACTATATTATTTACAAAGTATAAATTTACTGTGACCTTCGGCTTAACATAAAGTAAAAGTAAATGATGTAATATTGAATTTTATTAAATACAGAGTGGTTCATAAGTCTGGTAAAGCTATATGCTATAGATTTAATATGTAAAAAATAATGAAATACGTTGTATATTTATTACGTGACAATTGTCTTGTAAAATTAGTTAGTATAGTGGTATATACAACTTATTTCATGTTACTGTCCATAAAATTTGTCACACTTCCATAATTCTATTAAACAAACCTTTCATCCAACTTGTTCCTGTCTCTCTTAAAGCTGTCCACATTTTCCCATTGATATCATATTTACCTTTCTCAATTTTTTAAGTGCTTGAACAACTTCCTTGTTTTTTACTATCCATTGCCATCTAATACGTTAAAACCAAGAATGTGAATAGTCTAAGTACTGGCAAATTTCAGGTATCATCATTGAGATATATCTTTGTTGCCAAGGATTTTTCTTTCGATTTTTTCGCGGCATTAGATTTACTCCGATATTTTAACAGGGTTATTAGGAGAATATGTACTGTTAGTATATTATTGCCAGTTGATTAACTAAAATAATTTTCATGTTATTTGCCTTGAACTGCCTGACAGTCCTGTATCCTAATTTAAAACGATTTTGATCTATTTTTTACTGGGACGTATGGTAGTGCTAGGTGGTAATGCCTTAAACTACAGGGTTATATTAAATAACCGATGTCGAACTCCCTATGATCATATTAAGAATTAAAGCGACTGAGGGGAGCTATTTTTTGGCGGAAAAAATAAGGGGGCAAAAATTTTTACTTTTTAATTTTATTAATTTTAATTTAATTTAAAAATGAGCCGTCCATGATACGCCAAAGATGAATTGCATCCTTTCAATTTTATTATTTCAAAAACTGAATTGTACAAAAACTTTGTAAGCCAAAAGCGTTCAGCTAGGACATAAATTTTACATACTTCAAAAATACTTTTCTATTCCATTCTTTGACAAAAATAAAAAAGATATATTTAAGATAATTAACAACATATCTTATGAAATTAATAAAGGGGTCGTTCGACAAAACGAAGTGGTGACAGCATACTTTACAGGTTCGTCGGATATTTTTATTCAAAGGCAGACATATTTCAACTAGTTTTAACGGAACTTTTATTGGTATTAATATTTGCAAGATGGTTATAAAAAATATTGTGGGAATGGACGGCAGAGAAATGCTAGAATGAATGGGATAACCCACGAAATTATAAACATTAAGAAGAAATTAAAAGATTGGGACGTGTAAATGTATTGACGACAAACCAGGCCAAAACTCACAAAGGGTTGTAATGTCAAATTGTATGCAGTTGGCATAGAGATCATTTTCTTACTGCAATGAAAAAAGAATCAACGAGAGACGAAACGACACATCATATGGGATTCAAATTGTCACCATTTGATGGGAAGTCTTCTTGGTCCATATAGCTTACACAATTTGAAGCTATTACAACAGCCAATGATTGGATAGAACAAGAAAAGGCTGTTTCCTCGACTGCTGCTTTACGAAGTGATGCTGCGGATATGCTAAGATCGATTTCTAAGGGTCAAGAAAAATGTTACCAGACCTTGTTCATTCGACTAGACAAACGTTATGGAAATGTCCATCTACAACAAGCCTGCAAGGCACAACTAAAAAGTAAAATTCAACGAGCAAATGAAAATTTTCAAGAATTTTAAGCAGATGTTGCTCGTATAGTGCGGTTGGCTTATCCGGAGGTACCAGACAACATTTTGGAAGAAATTGCTGTGAATACCTTCGTCAATGGGTTGAAAGAAAGTGAATTACAGAAAGCTTTACGACTAGCAAGACCGAAAGTTCTAGATGATGCGCTCGCTATTGTCTTGGAACATGAAACATTTAGTGAAACTTCACGGAGCCATCGTGTAAGAACTATTGAAGAAGGCGACGCAGCAACCGATGAACGCTTGGAAGAAATGGTACGAAAAGTAGTTCGTAACACGATGTCGAAGAGATGCGAGCCCAGCACACATTCATCGTAATTGCAAGAAAATGACACAACAGTCGGAAAACTAGAACGGGTTGACACAAAAGGGAACTGCCAACCTCTAGAATCAAAGCCCCCATAGTAACTGTTAACTTTACGTTCTACGGTGGAATTCATTGCTTGTACATCGATGGTCGTATCAATAATGTAGATCGTTTTTGGTAGATATAGGCCATCTTAAATTATCACCTGCAACAGTAAAACTTAGAACAGCAACTGGTGAGCTAATTAATACATATTTTTTTAAATCCCTTTTCTCTATTCGGATTGCCGAATATAGGCTTCTCTTAATTCTCGCTATTCATCCCTGTTGTTTGTAAGATGTTTCCACATTGGCCCTGCAGTTCTTTTAATATCGTCGCTACATCGCATTTGCGGTCTTTTCTCGTGGTTTTTTGGCTTCATATGGCCGCCAATTCCCGATTTATTTATTCCATCGGCTATCCGTAAGACGTTCGTTATTATGTCCAGCCCATTTCCATTTCAGTTAAGCTGCCTGTTCGACAGCATCTTTTACTTTTGTGATTAATACATATGGTGAGGCTAATATGTCAGTATCCATTGGCCAGACCACAGTGAAACACAGAGTATTAATTGCAGAGATCTCCGACGAGTTCATATTGTGGATGGATCGACTAAGAATAGTTGGGACTGTATTGAATCTCAAAAATGGAGTTCTCGAGATGTGAAGAGTTGCCGTTTCATGAAGACAAAGTAGATGTTATCAGTTTACTAACTACTTGAGACGTAACAATACCCGGTAATAGTGAATACTGATGACCAGACTTAATGGTCACTGCCAGGAGAGTAGATAGTAAGCCATTTCAGCCCACTTTGACCTTTGACCTCTCGCGCTCCGGTCACGCCCCGTGATGACGTCATAGTTTTGAAGGCTAGCCCGCGACCCGTCATGACGCACTATGACGTTACTATCTACGCTGACATGACGCTGACTCGTCACAAGCGTTCAATCATGGTTATGTCAGCGTCATGTCAGCGTCGAGTCAGCATCATGTCAGCGTCATGTCAGCGTAGATAGTGACGTCATAGTGCGTCATGACGGGTCGTGGGCTAGCGTTCAAAACTATGACGTCAAAACTATGACGTCACGACGGGGCGTGACCGGAGCGCGAGAGGTCAAAGGTCAAAGTGGGCTGAAATGGCTTACTATCTACTCAGGAGGGAAGTTAAAGGATGATCGAAGATGTGGACAATGCCGAGTTCCTAACGACAAAAGCTTTGGTGAGAGTTCGAGAGGTCGTTCCTGTAAGAGTAATGAATTTAAAGCAAGCAGAGAGGCACTGCGCGAGACATGTCGCTTAACTTGCAAGATTCTGCCTTATAATTGATTTTTTGTTTTTGTTTATGATATACATTTCGAGAAATAATCTTTTTCATAATTATTTTGTAATTTGTGTTTATTCAACATCTTGACATCTGATAAATTAAATGTGTGGCCGTTTGTGTGAATGGTGTGCTACTGCACAATAATTTTTCTCTGTTTGGCAATCGCTTTTGTGTTGTTTTATTCTTTTTTTAACCACTAAATGTTTGACCTATATAATGCCCATAATATTCGAGACAATAAAGTTGGTAAATCGTAACATCGTAACATTCTTGTGTGAGTCTCTATGATAAGGTTGCAGTTTGCGAAGTAAGTTCTTAATTTTTATGAATGAGTTTCTTGCAAAATCTATTCTGTAGATAATTTCTTTGATCTAATTCCATCTTGCGTTGACCCTGTTCAAAAATGTATATCTACTTTTTCTGTCAACCTAGTTAAAGTTTATAGATATTACCAAATTTTTTAATTTTTTTATATAAAATTCACGTTTTCAAATGCCGTTGTGTTGTTTTTTGTCGTCATGCTTGGCTTTCTTTATCTAGTTTTATTATTTATTTGTATAAATATAATAAACAAAAACCATTGTGACAACCACACCTCGTAAATTATTTTCTATACATTATGAATATTTTAAATAATATGCGGTATGGTATGTACGTTTTTATATAGCAAAAAGCGTGTAGGTGTGATCCAACTTAACTGTTGAATAATCGATATTTTTAAGGTTTGAAAATGGGATGTTTAAGCTTTCGTGACGACCAGTATGAATAATATCGATTTGCCTAGTTGATATGTAAACGCACCAAACGAGGATTAACGAGAATATTATTATTGACATAGGCGGTGAGGCCAAAAGGGGTTTCCTTTTTTTAGGGTTAAAAAGATCCTTTTTCTTAGCGCTTCGGGTAACAGTTTTTACATTCTCAGAAAGTTATACTCATTTCACATAATATCGATTCTTTGTGCTCCAAATATAGAAGAAAATGCGCTGACATAAACATACATTCAGATGCAAAAATTTCTGTATATGGCGTATTGTTTAACAACAAATATGTTTTAATTAATAAACTTAACATCATTTAACCCTTTGAGACCCTGTGTACATGTGTATGTACATAGCTTTTATTGTTTTGTTAAATACCAACTACTCGCTTTTTTTTTTAACCTATTCTCTATCCTTCCATTGTTGGATATAGGTCTCCCCCAGTTCTCTCCATCTTTCCCTATCTTGAGCTGTTCTCTGCCATGTGGGACCTCCTTGTTTCCTAATGTCATCTTTCCACCTCATCTGTGGTCTGCCTCTTGATCTCTTTGCATTGTATAGACGCCACTTTCCGATGGCATTGTTCCATCGTCCGTCTTGGAGACGTTCATTGTGTCCAGCCCATTTCCATTTCAGTTTTGCTGCTTGTTCTATCGCCTC